ATTATACCACTGTGGAATAAAAGATTAGCCAAAGACAATGACTCTATGAAAGATTTTCAGGTTTTCTTTTAGAGAAAAAGAAAGCCGCAGGTAGAATTTCATACCAGCCAAGAACATAAGGGCAAAAACCATGCAGTCAGGTAAGGCAGGGACGGGTAGATCGCCCAGTGACAGGGACATGTCAGAACTGTACCCAAAACTACAGCTTGAGGGCAGGGGAGGAGGATATCTGTCAGGGTGACGGTAGGTAGCTGAGGGTGGAGAAGAAAGCACAGACTTCAAACCTTGACCTTTCCACCATTTTATGGTTATTTCCACTGCTGGTTCAGCTGCACTGTCTATCTTATTGTACTTCTCCTTGAGCCTGAGTATTTAAACCCTTTTGTGCTGGGCAGTGTCTACCCCTCAGGGAATGGCATTTGTTGACATAGTTTTCCCAGACTGCACAGGTTGTTTCAATCAATAGACTGGATTAATGTCCCCTAGTTAAGGTGACAGTGCTGAAATGAGTCTCCTGCCTTGTGGGAGATCTGGTTTTATCAGTGGTGATAAGCAAACCTGTGGAAGGCAGTAAGTCTCAAGTAGGTTCAGAAATGTAGGCCAAATAAAAGGCAGCTGTCTAGATTATCTTGGGATTCACTGATTTCTGCATTGCATAGGCAGGCAAGATAATGCAGAATGTGTGCTTACAACAGGGGGAAATACTGCTATCAGCCATAACAAAACTGGATGGTCTGTTTATATGTAGCACAGTTTTAATATAGGGCAGGCAGATTGTTCCTATATAATTTGATGCATCTTTTTGTCAGTTGGAAAAGTTTTATTTCATTTAGGCATAATGTTTTAATTTTTGGAGCTAAAATTTATGTGTATTTTCTGTATTATTTCCCCAATTTCATCCAGTGCTGGAAAACAAAGAGAAGAAATGAAAATGACACAGTATTTTTAGTGTCACAAATTTTAACTTCCTCCACTTGGTATTAAAAAAACAATAAAAATGTCCCCCAAATATCAATCCTGATAGATTCTGATTGCCAGAAAATAAAAACATTAAATTGACCAATGTGGGAGCTGTAAAGGCAAACTAACCCTATAGTTCTTCTCATAGGAACAGACATTGCTGCATGTCTTGGTTTGGGCTGAAATAGAGTTAATATTCCTTTTCAGGGATTAGATGAGTGCTGTGTTTTGGATTTAGCTTTGGGTTTGGTATGGGAAAAATGCTGATAGCACACTGATGTTTTCAGCTGCTACTGAGACTTCAAGGACTCTCCGACTCTCCATGTCCTGCCCGTGCGCAAGGGCACAGGGAGCAGGGAGGGAGCACGGCCAGAGCACCTGACCCGAACTGGCCAGTGAAATATTCCATATCATGGGACGTCATGCTCACTGTATAAAGGAGGGGTGGTTGGGAAGGAGCGCTCTCTCTCTCTCTCTCGCTTCCAGGATTGAGATTGTGGGATCTTGGTATCTCGGGGTCGCTGGCCAGGAACGGGCTGGGTATTGGTTAGCGGGTGGGGAGCAATTACGCTGTACATTGCCTGTTTATATATTTCTTTTTGTTTTTCCCCTATCATCGTTATTGTTCTCGTTTCATTGCCATTATTAAACTGTTCTTATCTCAGCCTGTGAGCCTCCCTTCACCCTGCTAATTCCCTCCCCCATTCCCAGGTGGGGAGGGGGAAGGGAGGGTGACCAGCTGCGGTGGTTGGTTGCCGATCAGGCCCAAACCACAACTGCACTGTCCCAGACTAAAGTCCCTGTAAGCCAGGGTCCTGCCTCTGATTGGGTCTGCTGGAATAATTTCATGTCTTTGGAGCAAATACTGTAGAAACTTACTTTAGGCTCGTACATAAAAATACTAGTGCTCTTTCTAGCACAGGAGACGAGTCCTGTGATAGCCTGCAAATCAGTGGTCTTCATCTTGTTTCTTTCTAGGCAGTCTAGCCATCCCTTTTTCATTCATTTAACCTTGAGCTTCTACTTTGTTTCTAGAAAGTACAAAACAGGTTTTCAAAAGACATATGGATCACAATCCTCAAGCCTATTACTGTCACCAGAAGTGTAAATTTAATGTTATTACACTGACCTACATTCTTCTCTGGCTTCAGAGCAAAGTACTTTTCTGTTCAAGGTCTGCTTGTGCAATGCTGATGGCACTGCAGTAGTGGTTTTATTTGAGTGTGCTAGACATGTTAAATGTAATCCTTGGATACTGTGGAAGAGATTATAAGAAAACTCACAGGTTGGTTTAGATTTGATTCAGGAGAGAAATTATTGTAACCATTAAGGACTCCTGGAAAGCCTAAAAGCATAAAAAATTGAGCAATAGAAAACATGTGGAGGAAGAAACATAGCTCCTACCCTGGTCAGAAAAGGCTAATAAATTCCTCAGCTCAGCATTGCTTAACATTGCAGTCTGACCTGATCATTGCACAAAGCTGTGTGTTTTAAGAGCTGAGGGAACTTTGCATTTAACTACAAGCATAGTTCAATTTAAAGTAATGGCTGGGGTATAGATGGTGCATCACTGTTCACCTGGATGAATTCAGAGATGCACAGTTGTAGAGTCACAGACCTTTATGCTCTTAACAAGTAACAGACGGCAGTAAAGCTAGAAATTGTCAAAATGCCTCAGAAGAGCTGCTTTGCCTTTGGCAAATGCTGATCTGCTGATATCAGAAGTTCCCTTGGGATTATTTCAGTTTCAGTGTTGTGGTTTTTGTTTTTGGTGGGGTTTTTTTTGTTGTTTAAAAATGTGGAAGTAGATTGAATAACAGGCAAATCTATAATAAAAGTCAAGGCAAAAGAATTATTCTGACTGATCCAAAATTAAATTGAATCACATTAGACATTTAAAAATGCATGTTTAAATTTTAAAACAGAATACTTCCTGTGATTTCAAATTAAATTCATAATTGTGTTTTAAGTTAGAATGAAACCTAATATTAAAACTCTGTGATGTTTTTAGACATTCAATTCCTGCAGGGCTTTAAATACAGTCATCTAGTTGAAGCAAGAAGATTTATATTCTACCTCATATGTCCAGTTTAGCAATATAGAAACAAAACACTATATCCTCAGTGGTCATCAGAAACCACGTAGAAAGTTCTGCTCTTTGTTACTCAGACTGTGTCTTGGAAGAAGTCTCTTCTGTAAGGCCAGCAGTGTTCTCATGTAAAAGGACAAAAATAGTTTTGAAAGAGAAAAGGTGTTGCATAAAAGCATAATTTTTTCCCAGTTCTCATCAAGAGTTTGGCTCATTAGCATGAGCAGCTTGTGCTACTTTTCTTTTCAGAGCCTGTTGAATGGTTCAGCCTGAGTGCATAGAAAAGTATCAGGACTGTTTAGGAATTTAAACCAACTGACTTGAAGGGAGATTTCTAACAAGTAATGCTGGCTTAAGCTTCTGAACAGGAATCTGTCCTGACACCAGAACATTTAGCATGAGTTCCTTCAAACAGAGATGGGATCCCCACATGAGATGCATGGCCTGGTAAAGTGCAGGGTTTCCACATGCACAGTTAGAGGATTGCATGTTTAGTGTTGGCAAATACTGCAGTGGGGAATTCTTGTGTTATTAGGGGTGCATTTCTACAGTCATATAGTTCTCTGGTGGCTTTCAAAATCCTAGTTTTTGCCAGCTTAGTGTGTATTTATCCGGTCACTGCTATTCATTACAATGTTGTAGAGCATTTGAGGAACTGTAAATCTTCCAAATTAAATTACTCTTCCGTTATATAGCTGAAATGCTGGGAATGTTTTCAGTGACAAAAGCTGGATTTCAAGTAAATGGGGTAAACAAAAGGAGTCAAGAATCTGAGGCCATAGTTGTCCAGCTGCTTTTAATGAACCATGCTCTCCTTTGGAAGTTCCTGTTTACGTTAGGTGTATCACCATTTCAAATGAGTGGAAAGCATTAGTTCAACACAATGCATAACAGAACTAAAGTCATTACTTGTTACTATTCTTCCTCTGCACCTCTGTCTGGCATGGCTGGTGATATGCTTGAAAAGGTCAGTGAGACTAGAAAATAGCATGCATAGAGACTCAGCAAAAGGTTCAGAATCCATACCCTGTTAGTTCCATTATTAGTCTTGAATTAAATTCAAATCACAATTGAATTTTTGACATTGTACATTTTTTTTCTATTGAAGTCTATCTATATACATTTCTGATTATCACAGGTGGTCTAGTCATCTTCAGTTGTCCCTGATAACTCTTTCCAAGACATCAAGGGATCACAAACCATTGTATTTGACAGAAATGTGCTCTGAGTTACTAACTCTATCATTGTTAGTGGTCGCAATCGTGAAAGAACATATCTACACAAGGCAGATAAGCAGGCACTTCTTTATTCCAGCGCTGGGGAACACAGGGGATAGCTCCACCAAAGACGTGTTCGCCAACAGGTACAAAGCACAACATATTTATACACTTTTTCAGCAGAGTCATAGTTACATAAGATCAACAAAATTCATAAAGTTTATAAGTTGACCTTAATAACGATTGGCTTTCAGTTACCTCATCTTATCTATATTCCTATTTTACAGAAATCATTGGTCATCTTTACTGATTGATTTAAATAGAATGGGGGGAGGGCAATGATTAGCATATTAATGTTATTTCCTGGAAATTATTATCATATGCAAATGTCTCTAACGCATGCGTTGTTATGTTGGATGGGGGTCCTCTGGTGGTCGTCAATAGTCTTCCTCACTGTGTCGGCTGATTGAACTCCATCCTTGCGCATGCTCACTCCATCTTTGGCTAATGCTCACCTCTCCCTTGGCCGATCTTCCCAACCAAACCAGTTTCTTCTGGTACCTATTGTTTCAAGTCAAGATCCATAACCAGTACCTATTGTGTTAATTCAGAGTCCATAACTATTCTTATAGTGTTCGAGGCACGCAGCATACTAGTTGCTTAATCCTAAGGGCCTTAGTGTACTTTATATTCTCATAGCTACTGTAGCTTCATGTTAAATCAAAATCATACTTTCAAACTAAAATCAAAATAATATTCTAGGATTCAAACTGTTTTATTAAGGTAACTGCAACAGCATCACCTTAGGATATCAATACATTAGTTGGAGATGAAAAGACAATATTAAGCACTGAAGTTATAAGGCTACAGACATTATTCTCTTTCTGTCTATGTACAGATCTGTGATGTACCATTACCCCCCATCACCTAAGCTTCAGCTGAAGATGATGTTCATCTGAAAACAGCAGTGAAGGAAGGACCTGAGAAATTCAGGAACAATGCAGCAGATTAATATACGACAGTTAGATTTGCAGTAAAAATGATCGTAATAACACATTCCTATGAACTTGATGATGTAATTTAGATATATAAAAATAAGAGTGGGAATAAACCATGAAATAATTAGAAACATGTAGATGAGATTAACATTATTGTTTAATGAGATCATTGGTAAAAAATTTTGAGCAAGTCCCCATACAAGCATGTGAGAAAACATTGTTCTGACCATAAGGCTACTCACTTTGACCATAAAACACTGCCTTAGATGTCAGCCTGTCCAAAGTGTGAACTTGAGAAAAAAAATGTGCTTTCAGAAGAGATTAGAAACTGAGAATATGTGCAGAAAACTGGTTGTACACTTCATGGAAGAAGGTTCTTGCACCAAAAGTGAGATGACTGAATAATAAAGTAGTTGACAACTGGTGATATTTCAGTGAAAGAAATGAGTGGCTGAGGAAAACATGATTTACTGAAGTAGGTACAGGAGAATTTTTGCCCATCCTTTTCTCTTACAGATGTATAACATATGTACATACACATGGATTTCTGTTCTTTGTGACTAAGACTCACAATGCCTGAGACCCTAGACCTCTCATATAAAATTTAGTAGAAAGAGTGATGCTCTAGGAGACTTGAAGGAAAGAATTAAATGGAATTAAAACCCACTGTCCTTTATATTCTAGTTCAGATCTGTTTTCTTGTTTGGGAAACACTGGAAATGTTCCATGGGCTCACTGCTGTGAATGCATAAATGAACCTGATTGTGGCTCTTACCTTTCAGACCTCACACAAAATTGCTCAAGCCAGTTCTGGCTCTTTTCTTCCAAACTAAGGTGGTTCTGACTTTCATAACTAATTCCAGATTAGGTAATTTCTCTCAGAAAGACACCTGAGATGGTTAGTAGGGTAATATGTTCTTAAAGATCAATGTGTAGTTTAAAATTATTACAATGTCAAAAATTGTCCAAATAGCTGTGTATACTAAGGAAATGTTCAGGAAGGGTACTAAGGAAGGGTTCAGGAATTTCTGTGGATAGATTGAAGAACTGAAAGAAAACTCTGATCTTACAGTCTAAATAAAACAATGGTGAGATATGGAACATAGAAACATTTGGGAGGGTCCTGAAATCCTTTGATATGCTGGAATTCATATATAGAGCAAAGTAATATTTCAAGATCACATTTACACCCAATCATAGCATTATGAATGGAACATATGAGAATATAAACATTTAATCATTGTAGTCAATATGGTCAAAAAGTCTCTTCTCTATGCATTTCTGCCAAAGTATTTAGTGTAGAATACCTCATACAGGTGTATGTGTGTAATTGTGCTTTTGGATGAACACCGTATACCCAGTGAGCCATATAGAATTTGACAAAAGTCATACAAAGTGATTCATATGAATCTACCAGGTGCTGTCTCAGATATAAGATGATTACAAGATTTAAGTTTGTGACGGTCCCAATCTGATTTTTTGATTCATCTGACTGAGTGGCCCACACAGTGAAAAGTTTCCAAAGTCATATTTGTTTACAAACAATATAGAAAGTCAAAACAGTGGCATTTTTATCAGTTTCAAGTTGCTGCAGAATGTAATTCAAATCTAAGTAAATACAAAATGCATATTTAATTTTTTCTGCAGTTGCTGTAATGCTGAATTCCAATAGTTTAATGAGATGATGACAGTTTACTAGGCACAGAATTCTGAAACTCACTGGGCAGGTGGAAAGAGGTCAACCGTTCTTTACTACAGTGCAAGTGTATTGACCCAAGTATCTCTGAAAACCAGCAATTAGAGATCTACACAGGCTTACTATGTATGCAAGAGAAAGTATTTGTTTACTACAAAGGAAAAACGTTCTTTAACCTCTTGGAATCAATGGGAATTTTTTTGAGAAGAATTTCACTGCTTATTAATCGCCAAGGGGTGGCAGAACAGAGACATGCAGAAGAGTTGGACAGAAAGTTGCAGAAGAACAGGGAGAACTGCGAGTCACTAATAACCCACTTCTATAATGACAGGACATTGCCAGAGATGTACCTGCATATGTGCAATAGATAATCCCAGTTAGCACCTCTGAAAAAGGTAGAGACCTCCAGGACGTATGGTGACAATGACCTTCCCAACCATACCCTCTGCAGCCAGCACACTCCTGTTCTTGTTACAGTCATCCCCATAATGCAATGAGCAGCCCACTGTGAGGATACCCTGGTGTCAACTCAGTGGGCAGAAATGAACTGCTGAAAGCCAACTGCCATTTTGGAAAGAATAGACTAACTCCACAGACCTTTGGAATGGCATGTTTTAAGAATGACTGTGAAGATAACCTGTTCAAAGTATCTCCTCCACTCTATAACTGCCTCCCCATATGTGAAATTTCCCACATATAAATAGTCCTACTCAAGACAGAGAGAATTTTCCCATCAAATTCATCAAGGACAGAATTTCATAGTTTATTTCTATGGGATGTCAGCACAAAATAATTTCTATCTAACAGTTTCACAAGTTTAAGAGTTACTTCTTACTAGAAATGCAAATTATAAAAGGTGAGAAGGTGGGTTCACATTCTCTTTACAGTACCAAAAAAAAATTGTTGACTTTTTTTAGGCTAGTGCTTTAGTGAAAAATAAAATAAATTTGGAAATACTTAGTTTAGATAAAATAATATGTTACCTTGCAAGATTATAATCCTTCCTCCATTGTGGTAAGATTTAGCTAGAAAAATAAGAATTTATTAGTATTTGAATCATTGCACTCCAAATGGTAGTGACAGATTAGTGCTTTGCTTGCGACTTTTCAAATGATGATTTTTCAAACATGGGAAGTAGATTAGTTCAAGGTGAAATGATACTTGGGAAGATGGATGAACTGTTACAAGCAAAGAGCAGTGTGAAATAAAGACAAAGCCATTGGATTTGGTAAAGTTTAGAACTAGGCACATGCTTTATTTTGTAGTTTATTGTGAGGAAAACTTTCTTCCTGAATCTGGGAAACTAATTTTTTGATGTGGAATGGCAGCTTCAACCCCTGCTGAAGCCTAGACCTGTTAACGCACATGTGAGGCAAAGCTGCCAGCTCCAAATCCTAACAGGCTTGACCACATGCTGTGATAGGCAGTAAAAATGATCTGGGAAGGAAAAATCCTGTTTTATTGATATGCAGTTTACACTGCTGCTCCCATATAGACTTATGGATGCTCCAGAAAATAAGGTTAATTATTAATATCATTAGCAAAAATAATATCTTTTCAAATAATTATGTAAACAGGATATTGATTTGGATCACAGAATAGTATTTTACTATTAGCTCATGCTGCTTATGTACATATCTGCTCAAATATACTTTGGGGACACAGAAAGGGGAAGAGACAGAAAGTTTTTTTTAACAGGAGAGCTTTACAGCTCTTGGTTTTACTCCAGCTGGTGCTGTGTTTGAAGGAGTTATTAATTAACTGTCACGTTACAAACAGTGTCTTCTGATTTAGCGAGACAGGTCTAGATTTTTAATTTATTAAAAAGTATTATTTGAGGCTCATGCCTGTCTCCCCCATTAATTCATTACACCAAAGTCAGTTGTTTATTATTGAGAAAACTGGTGATGCACAAAAGAGAATGGAAGGCAGTACATCAGTTGGGTGCCTGATAAAATCAACACAGCAAAACCACTTTGACAGCCTACAACTCTTTTAAAAATAATGACTTTAATAAACAAATGTAGCTTACTGGTATGTAGGTGATTACTCCTGATGCAGCAGTTAAGTCCAGAAGTAGGTCTTGGGAGCAAGGGGAAGAAGAAGTCTTTAACAGCAGCACAGCTCGGCACTTTGAAAATAAAACCACCTACAGGACTGTGATATATGGAACACCTTACAGACAGGTTCGTTTGGTTTTTCAAGTTTTTGTACACACTCCTTTTGATGACAGTGATAATATATAGTATAACATAGCCAAGCGATTGGGGGAGAAACATTCTGAAGTGTAGAAAGTTTACCTTTATCTCATATTGTTTTTTAACTCTTTCTCTAGAAAGCGTTGATTTATACAAGCATGACTCTTGGAGCACCTTAAGCAAATCTATTATGTTTAAGCACTTGAACTAAGGAGACTCTCACTCTTTCTTTCATGATCTTATCATGTAAGAAGGGCTATCACATTTTGTTCATAGTTCTCAAAGGCCAGGAAGTGGAAGCCTCACCATCTGCATCTGGCAAAGACCAGGATGCAGAAAAGTGACCTGTTTAAAGTAATGCAGCAAACCACGGCAGGTATTAGAGAAAGGACAGCATTCACCTGATGTCAGGTGCCATCTCTCCGGCCAAGCACAGTGACTCTGAGGTCCACAAAAGCCTGCTGGGTTCTAGTGCAGGTGCAGCTGCCTTTAGGTCTGAAATGACTGTAAAGTGATTTGAATGTTTATGAGTAGGATGCTTGGCATCGTTAGAAGCAACAGATCAGAGACACTGGCAGTGGAGACACTGAATTAGAGAATGAAATTAGTACATCTAACATAAAATTATGATTCGTTTTAATAATTGAGGAGGAACTTTGGTCAGCTCAGATCAAAATATTTTTTGTGCCCCAGAGGTCCATGTTAATTAGTAGTCTCTTGACGATGCCTGCATACAGAGCAAGACAAAAATTTAGGCATGTATGATACCTCAATTCTCCTGAGACATATTTCTAACACTGAAAATACCTTGTCTTTAATATATTTTAGGTGGGCTTTGTACTAAGATTTTCCTGTCTTCAAAAATTTGTCAACAAGAATTGTAACTTGGGATGGAGGAGTGAGGAGTAGGGAGGAGCAATTAAATAAGAAAAATAAGAGGCAAAATCTTGCAGGATCTCTTTGGTTTAGTCTTCTTTTCTTTTATACTCTTGCTTTAAGTGAAGGCATTAATTTGCTTCATTACTGTGGTGTCAGAGTACTTAATGAGTTCCACTATGCTGCTCTTGTGTGCATCTCACGCTAGTGGTGCTGCACAGTGTGACTGTAGGGAGAAGCAACTCTGATGTAAGGTAATGCTCTTGCATGGTGTGAATATAAGGACGAGTAACTCCAATGGAGTGCCACATTTAATCTCCCCAGTGCAACACGGATGATGCCAAGACACACGGTTAACGAGGCTGGTGGAGGGCCACCCACGTGCAGTGTCCTGACTAGCCATTTCAGAGCAGCACTTTGTACCAGGAGACTTGTTTTCAGTTACACAAGGTGATGTCAGACAAACACAACTGAGACAGTCTGCAGGCTTCGACGTGGCAAAGCCTTAGCCAGAGATGACCCTTCCTTCCTTGTACCCACTGTGCTCTCCTTGCTCTCCCTTAGCTAACTAAATTATCTCTCTAACACCCTTTTTTCTTTTTGTTTCCTTCTCTGCTTACCTCTCTCCTAGCTTTCTCTTTCCACATTTCTTTCAAAACAGCAGAATGATGGAGTTTGCTTCTACCAGTGGGGAAAACATATATATGCTGTGCTGCTCCACTGCAAGCAGATCTTTTCAGAAACCCAGTCCACTGTGCATGTGAGGCCAAACAAATGAATTTGTGTAATAGGTTATAACTTTGTCCAAAGCAACAGTCTGATTTCCTGCAATCTGGCTTTTGTGTTTATAAAGCAACATACAGACTATGAGATCATCCAGACAGGAAATTCTTGGTAACCTTGTAAACATCAATCACTGTTTAAATAAGGAGTAGCAGTTACTATACTGTACAGAAAGGATCTCAAAGTCTGTGTAAACATAATGTGATAGGTATAGCCCTAAGAAATGAGCCACAAAAAAAGATTTCCCCTCCTTTCTCTGCCACTCATGAAGATATTTAAAGAAAATTATGAGTTCGCAATTTCTCTTTTGATGCAGTATTGCAGACATTCTTTTGCACTTGTGAATTCACAAAGCAGTGTCAGTCCATGCTGTGTTCTTTGTCTTGCACAGAAGTGCCTGAGCCTTGGTGCTCAGCTCATGAAAAAGACCTGCAGGCTTAAATAAGATTGACTGAGCTCTCAAGAGTAGAGGGAAGAAGTTATTATTGAATTAGCCCATGACACCATCTTTCACAGTTTTTAATAAAAGTGGTGATCACAGAGCTTTGCAGACTGGAGAAGTATTGCTGATGAGTGCAAATGGACACTAGGGATTGCCACAGTGAGGTGTTTCTGATTCAAATGTATCTCAGTTTTCAACTGGCTAAAATAGACTTTGTTCACAGTCTGTTAAACTGGATTCATCTGATATTTCCTCTGTTTATGACCCATTATTATTTTTTATCTCTCACAGTCATTGGAGTGATTCCAAGGAGACTTTGACATATTATATGGTCTGGAAAGTGGGGTGGTGATAACACCATAAATACTAATCTAGATTTTTCTTTCAGCTATAGCAGAAGAAACTTGATTAACTCTGTTTCCTCCACTCACTCTGAACTGACCAACACCAAAAAACACAGGGTTGACTGTCTTGTCATAATGGGGTATGTGATGAACACAATTCTGTGTCCCATGATCAAACTGTGTGCATCTTGAGCAATACATCTCACAGGCACTGCAGCCCATCCCGCTAAATTCTGAATTGCCTTGTAGCAAAGAGCCAGTGTTTTCCTTTCAAGGCACCAGTCAAAATGTCAGTAAAAACATCAAGTACCAGTAAACTACCAAATATCAGTGAAAAATCCCTTATCAGTGAGCTCTCCTCAGCACATCTGAGACAATAATGACCTGATGTTTTCTTTCATCCTTAAACAGAACTAATCTGAGCATCGATCAAAAGGGGGAAAAGTTCTAATAGCTTTTTCAAGGCTAGGCAGCATTAAGGTTATATGACAATATAACAGACAGTACACTAGAGAAAAAAACCCACAACTCGTTCCTAAAACAGAAGATAGGCATTAAATCCATATTTATAGTTACTACACATAATGGATGAGATTTCTCGGAACAAGTTGCAGGACTATTTTCAAGGGACAATAATTACAGTACATGCTAATCCAGTTTTTCGTTTTATCCACAGCAGCAGAGAACCTCATTAACTGTTTCCACCATTCAGAACTGACTAACACCAAACAGCTGATAGTTAGTTCTCCTACCATACAGAGGATGTATCACATCTTTCTCCCTGCACATGAAGATCCTTGAAACAAGAATCATGCCACTTTCCCTAGAATAGCAGAAGTTTCTGGACACCTATCTGGAAAAAGATATCCTACTTAACCAAATTATGGACTGAATTAATTAACCCTTTTTCTCTTTCACAGAAATGTCCCCTACAAATCCTGACATACTTCTGAAGAACTGTACGAGAAAAAAACCTGAAGTTTTAGTGACATGTATGAAATACCATAAATAGTCCATCTCTCCTTCATTGAGTGTACACCACCCTGTGGGTCATCACCAGGAGTCTCACCCTGACATTTGCAGTGAGGGTAAGTAACAATGCTCCAAAACTCTAGGTGGCTAAGTAGACTGACATATTTCTGTGATATTACTGTGATGTGATTTTGTTTTGGATCTCTCAGGCAACTGGGCTGGCACAGGTGTTCACAGACATGAATCTCTGTGAATTTGTTCCATGGCAGCCAGTGGGGAGGGCAATTCAGAGAAAGAACCAAAGCCTCTCCCAGGGTCTTCTCGAGTAGATGGGAACTTGGGCCAGGATAGCATGAACCTTGTGGCCACAAATGAAATTGTCCTATACAAAAGAGAGAAACTTGCATATGTTCTTTGCACAGCTCTCTAAGGAGCTATACCCCATGAATCTCACCAGTGGAGAAACCAGAATGTTAGATGTTTCCCATGGTCCTGCATGTCTAAAGAGCCTCAGTGTTTTCCTGAAATTATTTGCTAGTGACCCTGGCAATAATTCACTGTGCCTGAATTCCGAAGGACTGCAACCTAAAATCAGACCATGCCTAAACTATCACACTTCTGACAGCACCCACCCTCATGCTCAGCATTTAGCAGCATGAATAGTTAGTTATCCAGGCTTTTTCTGGGTTTTACAGCATCTACTCCCACAAGTTTTCTCAGTCTCCTGAAAAGGAAGAGATTTTCCATATTTCTTTTCTGTGAAACACAAAAACACTCTACTGACTAGAGACAGAAGAGTCCATAAATGATAACACAATTAGTAACAAGGCCACAGCATTCCACAAGTTCGCAGCATCTCTTCTGACATATCATTCCCTTGTACCCAATGTCTTCTCTACCAGCCAGGGTGGGATTGGACAATGACAGAAGCACTGACAATCTCTGTGGCATTATGTGGGGTGATCATTATATGTTAAAGATTCACATGCTGCACATTTTCCACACTAAAAAATTTTTGTGAGAAGACATTGTTGAATGTTTTCACTGTTAGAATTAAAGCTGGTGGCAGAAAGAAATATTGAGAAAAAACAAAGCCTGACTAGAGCTGTGGTGGTGAAGAGTAGGCAGTGCTTGAGATTTTCGAGTTTATCTGGAAACAGCTGCTTGCACTTCTAGCTGGAGATGGGTCAGAAAGAAAACATTGGTTGTCCAGCCAGCCCAGCAGTATGGGTTTGATTTCTCTAGAGAAAAGGCTGCTTTACTGGATTCACTTTGGTGCTTTGTGTACTTTTTGACTCAAGCAATGGGACTTACTATATTATGGATGAACTTGTTGGTTTCTCTCTTGCCTTCTGCTTGACAGAAAGAATGGAGGGCCACAGACTTCCCACGGGCATTGGTCTCTTAGCCGGCAATCCAGTTCACCAGGATGGTGAAATGGTTCTGCTTTTAGCACCCACTCTTCTAACTACATTAATCACCTCCCAGTTTTAGAAGCTATGTGTG